AGGTATCTTGTATTCAGCTGCCAGTAGATAAGGAAACCAGCCCCTGAGAGATCAGGGAGGTTCTCACCATCTTCCATTTGAGATCTTATGACTGACAATTTTTTTTTTTCAAGGAAAAAGGAGAGAGAAAGAAAGGAATGCCCCAAATATCTGTATCCAACTCCTGCTGACTTCCACGGGAAGCTATACAAATATGCAGCTTCTCTGAAAAGAAACTGAGCCCAAGATATAATGAAAACAAACAAATGAGTATCTTCTTTACTTGACTTCTCTCCTTATTCTTAACTTTAAAATGGAGTTACAAATTCAGTCAGCTACATGTAACACATGTCTATAGGTCTTCAGTTGCAGAAAACTAGATAAAAAGGGAAATCAGGCAGAACAGGCAGCACAGCTGTTACACTAACCCAACTCTGTAGTGTCACTTTGCAAATAAACGTTTAAATATTTCATTGCTTCAAAACATACATGACCTGTGAAATAATTAGCTATTTTTAAAATACTTCTAAAAAAAGTCTGTCTTTATTTTAGATTGAACATGCTATTACCCAAAAAGCTTTATTTTTAATTTGTAGATACTTGTTTACATTTAGCAGCAGAAAAAGATCCATCGACCTAAGCCTCTGTATTTAGGGAAATAAAGATTCTTTCTGTAAGTTTTTGGGGTTTCTTTTGTTTTTGTTTTTTTTAATCAAAAACATATTGGTCAGCCTGTATTACAAGACTGATTTTCAACATGGCTATTGCTGATTCTTCAATAACAACCTTTCATCATTTGAACAGTGACATCGGGTCAATGCAGGACCATACCAACACAACTAGTCTTGCTATTCTGGTATTTCCAACAGCCTCTGAAACAGTTTTCCCCATGGCACTGAGACACCAGACCCATTCTTGGCAGCAGGGTAAGAGAGCTACCATGTATTCTAATAATGTAGGCCAAAAAAGGCAGCAGTTAAAAGTCCACAATCACGGACATGGCTCATAGAGCTTTCCTCCAATGTGGGGGTGCTCCACTCAGAAAACAAGCTGTTATATGCTATGCTCAGTATGTTCAGATTTATTTCTTTAGAAACAAAACTACATAAGAAAATTTGTTTATTTTAGTATCTGTCAGACAAGTGGATGTCCCTGTAGATGCAGTTTTTAGTCTTAACCAGTGACCCTCAGGATCAGCATCTGAGTAAGTCTAACCTAACGGTGTCAAACAACCTGTGGAACTACCCATCTGGCCCACCCAGCTATCAAAGTTGGGGGTAACCATCAGAAAGAGGCATGGCCTGCTGCAGAATTTGAGACTCGCCAGCCCCCACTGTACAGGGCTGTCCATAGCAAGATGGCGAACTCCCCTAGTCTAATGCATCTTTTCACTATTAGAAGTCCTTCTCAGTTAGGCGTAGGGCACAGTGGCAATGCCATTTTGGAAAGTCTGAACTGCCACTACCCACGCCATACTCTCTTTATCCATAAAACAAGTATTTTTTCTTGGCCTTTCACAACTGGTACTATTCAAAATTAAATTGAGTGCCACTTCCTTTGTCCACTGAGTAACAAATAAAATTAGAAAAACCCACAAAAATTTCTTAATTTAATTGCAGTACAAACACCAACTCCTTTTCCCTCTTTGTAAATTGGGGATAAATATTAACTTACATGTTTCATAGGGGTACTGTGATGACTAATTAGTTCATGTTTGAATTTTGAAAGTGAAAAGCACCATGTAATTATATGAAATATAAAAACCTGTAATTAAATGGTGTCAGCTTATAGACACTCCCATATTAATTCTCTCCATACCTCGGGCTTCCTTAGGTTATCTATCAGATTACTGACTGCATTACAAATACCCTTCATGTTCAGTATAAGATATGGACAAGAATGTGTCATATTGTATAAGCATTCTAATTTTCAGCAATTTTCCTAATCAAAGCAGAAAGACATTAACAGTTTTTGAAAATGGAAATGCAATGTCACTTAAGGAACTAACTTTCAAAAAAAGATGCTTCTCTCAAGGGAGCATTAAGCCCAGGACAAATTACCTATTAAAAATAAACCTATTTTCAAGTTCCAGGCAGAAACAGCACCTAAAATGGTTATAGATTTCTAAAAAACATATACTGTAAAAGATGGGTTTTTTTTTCATATTACTGTTTTGCCTACACCTTTTATATTAAATTCCACCTTGAATGTGGGTTAAGTGGGGGAAAACTTCAACCCAAAAGAATAATAATATTTCAATAAAACATGAAGCTCTGACTTACTTTTCAAGTTATATTTACAAATGATTGAGATATTTAGATACTAGAAAAGGAAAAAAAGGAAGCCAACAGTGCAGACTACTTGGGAACAACTAACTGCTATATTTGATTGAAATATATGTACTAGGCAGATTTTTAAAATGTATACCTTCTCTCCTCCCCTTATCCAAATTATAACAGCTTTTCTAATCTTGAGGAAAACCTTTGCAAATCATTTATTAAAAGCAATCTTCATACCTGGCTCTCCATTCATACAATTATATTTAGAAAAAATATATAAAGTAAACTGTAAATGTTAAATCTCATTAAGTATCATCTGATCTCTGCTTCAGAGGGGAAAGCCAGAGGGGAAGGAGACAGGGAGATGAGGAGAGGAAGATGTTGAAAGAAAACTGCACATAAAAAGCTTGTGTTAATCAGTATTATACTGGCCCAAGTGCAGGGATGCTGCGTACTTATTGACTCATAAGAGTGTGGTAATTAACTTTTATAACCTTGGTGTAGTTTAAATTACTTTCAAAACACCATTTGAATTATATAAACCAACACAGATTATTAAATTAATAATTCATAATGATACTATGCTTTAAATCCCCCAAATACTTCAAACTTGCCGATAAATCTTTTCAGTAAACTTCTGATCTTTGGGTAGCGCACAGTGCCCGCTGAACAGCGCACAGCTTCATGGCTATACTGCAGCCCATCTCTATTCATAACAGAATGAACAGATAACAGAAATTTCAGAAGATGCAAGAAACCTCACATTAGGCAGATCTAGATTAAGCTTCATCTTAAACCTATTTTTTACAGAATAAACCTAGAAGCATAAGTTATTCACCAGATCTTCCAAAAC